AGGAACAAATACAGCAAATGTATAATAAATTTATACAGAGAGGATACACACGAGTGATACTCGACAAAGCACTTAGAAAAGCCAGGGACCATATGGCTGGAGGAGTGACACGACTTCGGAATAATAAGGATCGTATTCCTTTTCCGATGACATATAATGCATCTACCACTCAAATTTGCCATGAAATTAATACGAATTGGCGTCTTATGGAGAATGATACAAGTCTTCCTGAGAGCTTCCATAATAGGCCACTGTTCTCTTTTAAAAATAGTAAAAGCTTGCGTGATCTTCTTGTTCAGACTGATCCAATCCGAAGTTACCTTCCGGAGAATAAGAATAATACCAATAATGGATGTGTAAGATGCTTAGGCTGTGTAACTTGTGGTCATCTTATCCCCTGCAAAAGCTTTAATCATCCACATACGGGGCAAATATTCAAAATTCAACACAGAATTAATTGTCGGACTGACTTCGTAATTTATAAATTGTCTTGTCCCTGTGGGCTCAATTATGTCGGGAAGACAGAGACTGCTCTCTGTGAGAGGATAAGAGGACACAGGTCCAGCATCAGACTGGCCTACAGGGATAATAAGACGGATAAACCAGTTTCCCGACTTTTCTTGGAAAAAGGTCATCCCCTCACATCTTTGAAATGTGTGGCGATAGACCATGTTCCAATCTCCAACTTGGTGGATCAAAAAACTGGGTACATTAGCCCCATATGGACTAAATGAAAAACTGTCATTTATTGCTTTCCTGTGATTATGATAAGGGGGTGAGTGCTAGTAGGATGACAGACGGAATATAATGTGGTCCTGCCTATTCAATGTTAGCCCCCGTTATCATCATTCCAATTCCTTTACTTTTTAAATACGTTTTATTTTCTCGTTTATATGTAATGTTAAAAACTTGTCATGCTTTAGGTCTTTTTGCAATTGGGACTTCCATTTCAGGTTGTTTTGGATTTTTATTCATGTAGTATGATTCTCTCCTACTTTAGGGTTCATTACCAATAGTATAGGAGGTTTACCCCCTCTATTCATACCCCTTTCCAATAGTGATATTATCTACAGTTGATTATGTAAGTCTGGATTGTAGGCACTGTTTCACTTTAATTATTGACATTGTTTCACTTTAATCATTGACACTGATTATATAGTACAGCGTGGTTATGCACAAGAATTATGCACATGCACTTTCAAACTAATTTTTAGATAGATGGTTATTAGATCATTATTTTGTCACACCAAATAGGATACATCCTTGTGGATGTTTAAATATGACTATAATTATGGCAGTATACGTATATTGGTTGTGGATCTTTCTAGTTCCACATTTATAATACTATAATTAAGATTTTCACCGCATGTCTCTTTTAGCACAGATCTTTATGAGTAGATCACTTATCAGTATTTTTATTTAGATGTGGGATCTACATTAGGATCCCTGATAATATAGTTGTTATTTATGCACTAGTGTATTGGTGGATTGGATTATTAATCTTTGGAATTATTATGTGTCCCTTGTGATACTGTAGGTGATAGATTTGTATGCTGATACTTTCCCCTCCTCTCTTTTTTTGATGTCAGTGTAAATAGAGGCTATATCTTTTATTCCCACCGTGGTGGAGGATAGATATAGAGATCGGGGAATCTTTAAAACGAATGCGCATGTGCTCGGCGTTACCATGACCACAGGTAACGCAGCTAATCAGGAAGTAACTGAGGGGAGGCTCGTTAGAAGCAGTTGGCGTCTCGATCCCCATGGCAGCGTTACATGCGTAATGACGTTATTCACATCACATGACCATGTGTGCGGAAGTGGGGAAATTGCCGGGCACTGATTTCATTTGAGCAGATGCTCATGAGGAGGGGAGTTTTTTCTATCAACACACCTGAAATGTAAGTTCTAATTGGACCTATGTTCTTATTTAAGCTAAGTTTGTTTCATTTGTATTTTGTATGCTGTCCTGATGAAAGCTCCCAAGAGGAGCTGAAACGTCGATATATGGAGTAAAGTATTTTGTTGCTTATTTAAAAATCCTGGGAGTGCTGATTTTTCATTTGTTCTGTATTTATTGTGCAATCTAGCACCGGGTTCCAATTTTTGTTTGGTAGGAGTGCAAGGCTTTTTTGGTTTGATGTATGTATATATATATATATATATATATATATATATATATATATATATATATATATATGTTTTATTTATTTTATTTAATTTTTTTTTTTTTACTTTTATTAACTTTATTTTTACTTTTTCACCAGCAGCTGGCAGCAATGTGGACACCTATGGGTAGTCACATGGCCCCTAGGGGGCCTTTTTTGCATTGGGCGACTCTCTGGGCTCAGTCCAGAGAGTCCCCCCAAAGAAGAAGACCGATCGCCGGCGGGGGAACGTGACGATCGGTAAGTACATGGGAGAGGGATAGGGAGGGAGGGTAAGTTTTAAATATTTTATACTGAATGCCTCTACCCCTTGAGGCACGCTGTATAGACAGAGCATCAGAAGCCTGTCTGAAGGCTTCCGATGCTCTATCTAACTGCCAGGCTCCACGTGGTAATCACCGGTGGCCCCCGGCAGTGAGGGGGGTATTAAAGCAATGCCTCAACATTGAGGTATCGCTGTAATACCATGAGAGCTGCTAGAAGTGATCATGATCTCTAATTACCCCAGGACGTATCAGGTACGTCCGTGGTCCTTAATACCTGATATGTCAGCAGTCACTAAGGGATTAAACAGCTTGTTGTTCTTAAAAGTCATCTTCTTATAAGTTTTGATTATCGCGTTACATGAATTGATCCTGTTCTCAGATAGGCCACCTTGGGTATCAAAAAACCCCAACAACTTCTATGTGGGTACAACCTTGTAACTTAAAATAGCAATAACTTTTTCAAAATAAATTCTCAAGTTTATAATGATACAGATCTTTCCTTTTTGAGATTACCATTAGATAGATTTAGGTAACTAAAATAATAAATCAGGGTGGTACAGTAGACATTACTTACCTAAATTTCAATAAGGCTTTTGACACTGTTGCACATAGAAAGCTCATTTATAAACTACAATCTTTAAGTTTGGGGGGGGCGGGGCCTGGCCGCCGGACCGACTGGACGCCATGTACATGGGCTCCAGCACTAACCCAAGCCGAAAGGCGTACGAAACCAGTCCTGGCTGCTTAAAAGTCGAACATCACGACAGCAATGCACAGAGAGCGATCCTGGCACATCGCAGCCGCCGACATTAAACATATCGCAAGCCGGGCCAGCAACAGAGGACGTGCGCAGCCTACATATGGCAGAGCACAAAACCGCCTGCGGCCGCAACACGCAACAAGAAGCTGCACAACCCCCGAGACACTTGAGCGGGAGATATCGCACAGATGAAACCCCTGGGTGGAGGCTCAACCCAGGCCCGGGGTGCGGCGCCGTTGGGGGTTATCCCGGTCATATAGCGGCGACCCGCGCCACGATGGGGGCTCCCACGTGGAGTGCGCGCTTGCCACCTACACTGGTGAGACCTCAGTTGGAGTATTGTACACAGTACTGGAGACCGTATCTTCAGAAGGATATTGATATTTTGGAAAGTGTTCAGAGAAGTGCTACAAAACTAGTTCATGGATTGCAGGATAAAACTTACCACCAGGAAAGGTTAAAGGATCTTAACATTTATAGCTTGGAGGAAAGATGAGATGGGGGGGATATGATAGAAACATTTAAATACATAAAGGGAATCAACACCGTAAAGGAGGAGAGACATAGTCTTAAATTAGAGGGGCAAAGGTTTAAAAATTGTTTCATGAAGTATTACTTTACAGAGAGGGTAGTGGATGCATGGAATAGCCTTCCAGCTAAAGTGGTAAATATTAACACAGTGAGGGATAGACATTTCAGAAAATTTCCTCATACTTACCGTAATTTTCTTTTCCTGGATACGCCCATGGCAGCATCAAGATAGGGTTAGCTCCTCCCCCTTGGCTGTTTAGGACAGGAAATACTTACAAATAGGCCCTCCTTGCTTGGTATCATCAGTCACGCTCGAAGAAAAAATAAATGGGAAGGGAAATAATAGATGCTGCCATGGACGTATCCAGGAAAAGAAAATTACGGTAAGTATGAGGAAATTTTCTGAATTCCTGGATACTAATCCATGGCAGCATCACGATAGGGTAATACCCAAGCTAATTTTATGGGAGGGCAAATTAAAACTAAGACAAGGTATTCATGCTCAAAGAAGTGTTTGTTTATTCAGAGTCAAGAGACCGAGGAAAGAACATTTCTTCCAAACTCAAAGGTTGCTTTGGATCTGACATCCAGGGCGTAATGTTTAATAAAGAAATTAAAGAACGAAAAATACTCTTTAAAAAGAGTAAACCTGAATGCTAAAGATAAAAGAATCCTTCTTACCTGCACTAACCAGATTAAACGCAAAAGAAAGTATTCTTTAAGGAATTCCAGCTTACATCCAAGGAGAGAGAAAAGAACACTCTGTCTCTTTAAATAGCAACAACCGAATGAGCAATACACTGAACTACCTTATATGCACATGCCCAATCAGCCGAAATTTTAAGGGAATGCAAAATTTTCAATACACAAAAAAACGAACATACAGTTTGTTTGCCTAACAGTAACCATGCATATGAAGACAGGAAAATTCAATCAAATGAAAAATTCATACGATTGAAAAATTCATGCGAATGCAAAAATAAACTAACGCGAACAGAGCCTATAAGGAGAACGCCGACCAAATGGCGGGAAACTGCTGAATGCAGCTTCCAAACGAATGAACAGTAAGAACACAAGCAAAAAGCCCATAAGAAGGTCTCCCCATATTAATTATTTACCAGCAAAAAACTGATAAAGGATGCAGGTAACTTATAACCAAAAATGATAGAAATATTTTGCAGGAATGTTTACCCATTATACCGCTACCATTAGGATCACTGCGGATTACATATATATTCAATGTGTACATACATAAGGAAATAGGCGGAGTATGGTTGGTTTTCAGGTATAATATTGCTGCAAAAGACAAAACAACATTGTCTTTTGCAGCAATATTATACCTGAAAACCAACCATACTCCGCCTATTTCCTTATGTATGTATAATTTCTGTTTTTGTGTTCAAAGAGAGGTGAGCACACAGGTGTTTATAGTGTGTTGGTATATTGTGGGTTACACAGCAGGACTTTGCAGGACTTTGTATTTATTTTGAAGTATATTCAATGTGTGTTTACTACATGCACCGCTACCATAAGGATCACTGCGGCTATAGATCCATGAAAGGAAAAGCATGAGTCACACATAATGACCGTTACCATTAGGATCACTGTGGATTTATCATAGGTATACAGTGTATACTTCACGCACCGCTACCATTAGGATCACTGCGGTCAAATCTCTTATGTGTGAGACCACTTAAGAAAACCGCTACCCGTAGGATCACTGCAGTACAATTTCCATCACATAATACCCATTATATTACCGCTAATAGAAAATTATTGCGGAATTCTTCTAATATTAAGGATATCTGCCTTGTATATTTTCTTGTTTAATAACATTTGAAATTTCCATTTCTTCCAGGAGAGAGAGGCGGAACTCTCCTGGGAATTAAAGAGGTAAACTAAAATTAAAATAAAGGTAAGGTAAATTACCTGAAACATGTCCACAGCCAAGAGGGCAGGAAAAAATACTGATGATACCAAGCAAGGAGGGCCTATTTGTAAGTATTTCCTGCCCTAAACAGCCAAGGGGGAGGAGCTAACCCTATCTTGATGCTGCCATGGATTAGTATCCAGGAAAAGACTATCTTAGACTTAAGATAAGGCAAGGGACTAATGAAAGTATTTAGAAAATTGGGCAGACTAGATGGGTCAAACAGTTTTTATCTGCCATTACATTCTATTCATGTTGTGATTTATCTTGTACTATTAGAAACCATGAAAAGACCTTGACAAAAATTAATCACTGTCTATTTAAATGAAATTAAGTTTTAAAGAGCTTGCTGTTCTTAAACTTCAGCTTCTTATAGGTTTTGATTATCACTTTTCTTGGAAGACCCTCTTCTCAGATAGGCCACCTTGGTTCTAAAAAAAAAAAAATATATGGGCACAACAACCATAATTAGCAAATTCTTTTCCAAAATAAATTCTCAAGTTTGCCGCACAGCGAAGATATAATAATACAGATCTTCTTTCCCTTTTGGGATTATCAGTAGAGAGATTTAAAAGAGTTTATTGTAGCAAAATACTCTAACAGCTTGACAACCTCTAGAAGGTTTAATAAGAATTCCAGGCTCATTTCAGTGAAAATTATACAGTCACTCCTCCCCTCATGAAATTAAAAGACCCTTTGAGGCAAGAACTCTACAAGCTCACAGTGAAGGTTTCATTTCTAATACTTATAATATCAAGGTGCAGAGTGTAAGTTATCTAAGCAATGTTCTAAAGCAATGTTCTAGCAAGGTAACAATTTGTCGAGCTATTAGGGGACTGAGGCCTGCGGAATAGGACCCAGCCTTTTGGCACTCTCTTCTAGGTTAGCTTATTCTGTGGGAGCTGTTCCAATTGCTCCCTCACCAGAAGCAGGCATTAGCTCTGCTGCTGCACTTCTCTGGTCATCCTCCTTCCCCCTGACCTCAGTACATGCACTCACTCAGACGCCAGCACTCGTTTCCTGGGTGAGAGGTGGACGTCATGCAGTTTCCACCTGCAGCATCCCTCAAATGCATCACCTTCTCTTCACAGAGCATGCCATCACACCTCATGTCCCTGTGTATCATATCATCAGTGTGTGAGGAGTGCACTGCGTGTGAGGGGTTCAATTTGTTTAAGGGGTTTAATGTGTGTGTGTGAGGGCTGCAATGTGTGTGTGAGGGGTGCAGCTTGTGTGTGTGTGTGTGTGTGTGTGTGAGGGGTACAGTGTGTGTGTGTGTGTGTGTGAAGGATGCAGGGTGTGTGAGGGGTGCAGTGTGTGAGGGGTTCAGTGTGTGTGAGGGGTACAATGAATGTGTGTGAAGGGTGCAGTGTGCTTGGGGGGTGCAGTGTGTGTGTGTTACAGTGTTTGAGGGGTGCTGTGTGTGTGTGAGGGGTGCAGTGTGTGACTGTGTTGGAATTTACAGGCACTGTGTGCATGTATGGGGGGAGGGGGCAGGCTGGTCTCACACTCAAACTCAGTGAAAATCTGCATTTAACATCCTGCAGAAAATCCTACCACTCTCAGGCCTCATCTCACACTCAAACTCAGTGGAGATCTGCATTTAACATCCTGCAGAAAATCCTACCACTCTCAGACCTCATCTCACACTCAAACTCAATGAAGACCTGCATTTAACATCCTGCAGAAAATCCCAGGGCCGCCATGAGGGGATGACAACCATAATGGGCCCCACGTGTAGCGGCAGAACTGCCGCCGGTGCACTTGCACCGGGGCCCGCACACTATATCTTCAGGGGCCCGGTAAGCGCTGTGGCCGTGGTATAGTGCGACCGGGCCCCTTTAAAAAAAAAAAAAGCAGCCGCAGCAAGTGCTGCTGGGAGGAAGTGGTCAGAAAGAGGAGGGGTGGCTGAGAAATGAGCTGTGTGTGTATGTGTATTTATGTCTATGTATGTATATATGTATGTCTGTATGTCATTATGAATGTATGTCTGTATGTATGCATGTATCAATGTATGTCATTATGTCTGTCAGTATGTATGTATGCCAGTATCAATGCATGTTTGTATGTCTGTCAGTATGTATGTATAAATGTATGCATGTAAGTCTGTCTGTATGTATGTATGCCAGTATCAATGTATGTCTGTATGTCTTTATGTATGTATATATGTATGCATGTATGTCTGTCTGTATGTATGTATGTCATTATGTATGTATGTATATATGTATGCATGTATGTATGCCAGTATCAATGTATGTCTGTATGTCACTATGTATGTATATATGTATGTCTGCATATCATTATGAACTTATGTCTGTGTGTATATGTGTATGGATGTCTGTCTGTCAGTATGTCTGTATATATGCATGTATGTCAGTCTGAATGTATGTGTGTATGTATGTCTGTATGCCATTATGAGTGTATGTCTGTATGCCATTATGAATGTATGTGTGTATGGATGTCAGTGTCTGTATGTCTGTCAGTATGTCTGTATGTGTGTATGTATGTATGTGTGTATGTATGTATGTCGGTGTCTTTATGTCCTCATGCATGTGTGTCTGTATGCATGTTATTATGTGTCTGACTGTCACTATGTATGTCTGTGTGTCTGTATATGTGTGAATGTCTCAGTATGTGTGTGTCAGTATGTATGCCTGTATGTCTGTTTCAGTATGTGTGTCTGTTAGTATGTATCTGTGTCCTTTTGTATCAGTGTGTGTGTTTGTGTCTGCGTGTGTATTCCTGTGGGCTGTATTTGGAGGCGGACCCTGTGGGCGGTATTTGGAGGCGGGCCCCAGGGGGCCCAGACCCTGAGCTGAGTTAGGGGCCACAAAATTTCTGGAAAATCCTACCACTCTCAGGCCTCATCTCACACTCAAACTCAGTGAAGACCTGCATTTAACATCCTGCAGAAAATCCTACCACTCTCAGGCCTCATCTCACACTCAAACTCAGTGAA